GAGGAGCGCTAAGAATTACATTGATTTTTGCATACACTAAACTAGTCAAGTCGCCTGTTCAAGTTTAATTTTAGAGAAGCGTATTACAGGCTAAGACAGAGTTTTAACCAGCCTAAATTCCATCAACTTCCGCAGTTTCAACATCGCAACACCACTCTCACTCTTCGGAACTGCCTTCATACCAGCAGTCTGCACAGTTTTCAGAATTTTCGATACTTACGCGCTTACAGATGCGAAACTTGAAATTCGGCTCCTAGGGCTCCCCCACTGTTCTTCATAAAGCGCAGCAACAATGGCCTCATCTGAGGAAATACAGGGCTTTGGCAACGGCTTCTCCGTCTCTGGAGGAATCCCCATACACGAATTCGGAGAGTATACATTCCGTGCGCCGCGTCCAGGATTCTTCGTAGGGGATTCGCCTATGACGAGTGAACACATCAGTTCCTACCCACAACTCGTTCACGATGGCATGAGCCAGCCCGTTCCAACGTCAAGAAAATCTCTAAACAAGCTCAACGCTCTGCCTCCCGAACTGTTGTGCGAGATCTTTCTACACCTTGACATATGCTCACTGCTCTCACTCCGACAAATCCATCAACACGTTAAGAACGCTATCGAGGACTGCCCTCTTTCCGTACCATAGCTGCATTCCCGAAGCTTTTGTCCGCAGTAGAGGCCCTACAATGCCGATCCTGGACCATTGAAACACTACTATGTTGTATTCAAGACGAGCGCTGCATCTTGTGCGGGCACTTTGGTGATCTGATATACCTGGTCACGCCAGAGCGGTGGTGCTACAGTTGCTTTCTCAAAGAACCGACACTCGTAGTCCATCGAGTCAACTCCGAAAGTGTGAGCCAGGAACAAGCAGACACGACACGTTGGATTGTGCCCAATGTGCGGCTTGTACCTGGCTACTATGGCCAGAAAGCTGAAGGTGTACTGAAAAAGCCCATACTAGTATTCGACCAGCGTTTGCTCAGGGCTTCCAACGAGGCGTAGTACTGTACGATTGGGCGATTTTGAGGCCTGTACGGGTGAGATTTTGGGTACGTTCGTACGACAGGGAGGAGGAGAGGTAGGTGTACGTATTGTAACTGTTACGGCTCACGTAATCTATACAAGTAGTATAATTTAATTAAAGTACGCTGTACTCTAGTTAAAACAGCTAAGATTATAGGTCTTTAGAGACACAAGATTAAGGTCTAATTAACTATAAAATAACTAATTCTCTCTAGTAACAAGAGCAGAGAGGTCTAAAAGCTTGCTGCTTACTACCTTATACTGTAGCTAGTTTTTCTAGAGTTAAATAGCCTTAATTATTACACTTTTTAGTAAGCCTTAATTATTAGTTACTGTACAACTAGCTGCGCTAAAACACCTCTTACACTTGCAACTAGTAGCTAGGATAGTAAAGAAATTAAGAGCAATCTTAAAGAGAATAGAATAGGCTATTTTACCTCTAGTAAGCTACTATTATAAGGACTTTCTACATAGTAAGGGGTAATCTTTATAGTAATTAGCTCTTATAAAGTTATAGTAAAGCTATAGCTTATTTAACACTTTTTTACACTTATGTAAGCGCTAATTTGTTATAAAAAAGGTTAATAAAAAAGTAAGCCTTATAATTATTATTATAATAGTTGCTACCTAGCAGCTTACAACACCTAGAAGATAATAGCTTATTCTTAACTTTATGCTTATTCTTAGCATTTAAATACTAGTTAAAAATTATTTTTATTAACCTAGTTACCTTATCTACCTAGCTTTTATAATGCTGCTAGTAATCTTAAAACTAAAGTAAGCGTAATTAAGAGTTAAGAATAGTAGTAACTATATAGTATAAGACTAGTAAATTAAAAATTAGTTTACTCTAGTAAGTAGTAAGCTTTTAATAGCTAAACTTAATAGCATTTTTAAAGTATAAGTTACTTAGCTTATTAGTAGTAATTACTTTTATTTAATTAAAGTAGATTTAGAGGCACTAAAGCTTTATTATAGTCTTTTATAGTAAGCTAGATAAGCTCTAGCCTTTAAGTCTTTTTATTATTTAATAAAACTTTTCTAAAAAGTTCTTAAAGCGCTTAATCTTATCTTAATTATCTTTAGTAATAAGATCTACTTAGGCATTAAAGCTAGCTTATTAAGTCTTTTTATTAGCATTAAAAAAGCCTTTTTATTACTGTTAGAAGCAACTAATAGCCTCTCTAAGCTTATAATAGTATAATAGTATAAAGTAAACTAAGTGCTAGCGTACTCTGCTATTGCGCAGTAGATTAAGTATACTAAACTACTAAATTAAGTCTTCCTTTATAATGTTAATTTAGAGAGTTTTAAAAAGCCTTATACACTTATATAATGCTAGCACACTATTTATAAAGTTATAGAGTTATCTAATAACTCTACACTTTTTATATAGCTTAAATTAATTACATAAAGTAGCTTTAGTAAGCTTCTACTTAAATTTTATAACACTTTTACTATATATAATAGCTTTAATAACTACCTAGATTATATAAGCAGCACAGCAGATTTAGTGCTGTCTATTAAGCTTATCCAGCAGGTTAAGCTTCTTATTAAGGCTTTAAATAAGCTTATTATTATTATTTAACATGTTATTTTTAATAAAGCAGCTAAATTTTAATGTAATATTATACTTATTAATAATAGTAGCTATCTTAGAGGCTTACATATTACTAGTATAGTTACTATATAGGTTTTTAAAGCTAATTAAAAGGTCTTACTAAGTGTGTAAAGCATCTAGCTGTTGTTAGTTATAAAGTTCTTATAATAGTAGCCTATGCGCGTATACTAACAAAGTAAGCTACTACTGTAAGAAAGAAAAAGTAGTTTTTAAAACACTATATATCTATACTTAGCGTAATTTTTAATAGCGCAGTAATTAGTATTATTTAAATCTTCTTCTTTTACTATATAAGTGCAGTGTAGATATCCTTAGAGAGCGTAGTAGCAGAATGTAGTAAAGCAGTAAAAAGATCTATATAATTTTAGCTAATAAAACTATAAGTCTTTAATAAAATAGCTTTTTTAAATAACTAATTTTATACTATAACCTAGTTAACTAGGGCACTGCGTAGAGAACTCTTCTGCTATAGTATATAAAATAACCTCTGCAACAAGCCTGCTGCTCCTCTAGCTGCCTCTTATAGGTGCTGCAGTAGCTGTACACTATTAGGTAAAAGCTCTCTATTAACATTAACCTTATGCTTTTTTAGTAAGTGCTAAATAATATAGTTATAGCTATCTACTACTTTTATAGCGCTTTAAGAGCCCTGCTTATAACACTAATAGTAAAGCTAGAAGTAAATTACCTTACTCTACTTCTCTAAAAGTGTTATATCTGCGCTATAAGCTTACACCTTTAATAGTGTATAATTACTTTATAAAGTAGTCTTAGTTTTTACTTAGTAACTTAATTATGCTAAAGGCAACACTTGTTTTAAGTCTAATAGCTATATATTATTCTAATTAATTATAAACTTAACGCTAGTGTTATAATTATAGTTTTTTAGGAACTACTGTAATTAATCTTTAGCTATAAATAGTGTACTATTACAGGATAAGGCAGAAGACGCAGTGTAGAGGGCTTTTAACTTCTGCAGCTTATAAGACTGTGTAAAATAGACAACAGAGGGATCTAATTAACTAGATAAGGCCTGTAAGGCAGTAAAACGCGTAGATAGATAACTCTATAATAAAAAATAGTCTATAATAGGCATTTTTAAGACAACAGACTGCAGATAGATAGATTAAACTCTTTAGAAAGAGATTTAAGCGCCCTTACAAAACTTTTAGCTAATTAGAGCTCTAGAAGCTCTCCCTGCAGACCTCCTGCTTACTAGAGTCCTCCTACTCCTCTAGAATTGCTATAAAAACTTCTTAAAAGGGTAATACAATCTGTACTATGTACTGTACCTAGGGCATTATTAACTGTACAGTGCGGCTCACAAACTTAGTACGTTCGTACTGAACACGTGACCGTTACGGTTCACTTTGTACGGACCGTAGTACGGCCCGTTGGAAGCCCTGCGTTTGCTTCCCGGTACTGGAGAGTGGCCGAATGTGAAAGTTGATAAAGGCCATCCGCTTCGTTACAGCACCGTAATCCGCGCACCCTATTGGAATACGTCTACCTTGCGCTTCGAAGAAGGTTTAATCTGTAGAGCATGCGCCTCGCAAGGCTGGGTGCATAGGGACTGCGGGGGAGCACTAGCCAATCTATACGCTACGCGATATCCAATCTGGGGATTACCTTGGCGTCGATACTCCCGAAAGGGTATGCGAGATCATCTTGAACAATATGGTGCAATCTTTCAGATACAGTGGTTTGATGGCGATAGACGATACAAAAGAGTTGCGTTCTATCTCATCTCTGCTGTCCCGATGTCGAGAGAAGGAAATCGAGTTTCCAGAGGGACAGCCCTTCCTTCACAGGTGGGATCACGTTTCTTCTGAGATGGAGATTGAGTGTTAGAGTGCGATGACAATATGCTGAGTGAGGGAGTGAGGGATGATGGTATCGCGAGGGGGACCTAGTTAGGCGTCGAGCCACCCCTGTGTGTCACTACTCGGTAGTACTCTAGAGGTACAAGGGTACAAGGAGGTAGGCCCCTCAGTCAGGCAAGGAATCAGTATTATATTTGTATTTCAGACATCGCGAGCAGACTGCTGTGTGGATGGTTTGTCTGCGGTTCTTCCACACGCATGTTGCAGGCGAGGCTCCATCATGTGCTCGCGCGAAGGAACGCCACTTTCGTGTTCGTGAGACGTGCAGCATTGCAAGCTGAAGTTGAAAAGACGCGCTTCGGTGTTGCAATAATGCCGCTAGTGGAGAGATGACCACCTTTTGGTGGTGATATGTGTGGGGCAGGGTGTGGATCCGTGGTGTCTCACGGCAACCGAAAGCGTGTGTTCTGCCAAGATGGCGTAGCGTACCTTACGGCGCCCAAACCACAACACCGCAAGTCGACATATACACACGAGAGCGAAAATGGAATTTGCGAGTTGATGTCATCTCACTATTGGTATGTAGAAAGATAGGAGGGGGTTGCAAGATAAGTACCGGTACCTAACCCTAAAACCCCCCCCCTCTCTCCTAGAGAACCGGGGGAGCGCCCAAAATGGCAGCAGGAGCAAATTCGAATATATTTGAGACTCTATCGTCACTTGCATCACCTCCATCGAGCCGACCTACCTCGCCGCCGCCATCGAACACGTATACACACCGAACCGCTTCACCGTCACCGTCTTACCCATGCCGAACCGATTCACCATCATCGTCCAACGCGTCGCAATCCTTCCGAACAATTCGGTCACGTCACACCATGTTCCCATCTACATGGAAATGCGTAGCTGCATCCCTAACGCAGCTAGCAACATGCGGCTTCATATACGCAGAAGAGAATAAGGATTAAGAATATATATGTACCTGCTTAATCTGCGAAATGGAGATTATGTTACCCTACAAAGCTGCAAAACTAAGCAACAAAGATCTGCTTAAGTTCTATAAGCAAGACTGTCTATTAGTGGATACAATACTAGATTTTCTTAGCTACTAAGACATTAACACTGCCCCTGCTGCCACTCCTTAAAGCCCTCAAACAACACCGACAGCTGGACCGCCGTCTACCTCTTCTTCCAACCTGTCCCCATCTCAGCAGTCTGAGTCACGTCCGCCGACACGCTCATCGCCACCTCACCCACCGTCGCCGCGCCCATCGTCACCACACCAACCACTGCCACGCCCATCGCCGTGCTACCCACCGTCATCGCGCATACCTTCTCAGCGGTCATATGCAAGTGTGGCTGCTAGTACGCCATCCAGCCCCAGCAAAAACACCTCACCGCCACCATTCCCCTCACACTCATGTCACCCTCTCTAACCCTCAGCATCTAAACCACTAGCCCCTACTCTAAAAGCCAGAACATTAAGCCTAAAAACTACGCTGCCCCACTGTGGCTCGCCACATTAATTGTCGCCTGTCCTCTCTGTCCACAACCTAGAACTCTGGTTCTAGAGCAACTAGAACCCTTTTTAAAACCCACACTGTTGTTACCTATCACAAACAAGGCCCACCGCCGCTGTTGCACAGCTGCTGCACGCGATTGCAGAACTCCTAGGATCTTGCAACTTTAAGAATAATCCTACACTATACTAACACTCATACGCTAGCAGGTTCTGCTTTATTCGCTGACAAAGGGACACTGAACACTTAGAGGAGAGAGCCTTAAGAATACTTGCTACTTACTAAATACAAGAGGTATAGGAGAGTTCGCTAGGAAAATACAGAGAGATAGATATTTTACATGTATGGGCTATTAGGAGGTATGCCACTACTAAGGAATTGCTTATGTAATAAACTACTAGTGCCCTCTAGGCTAGAGCCGGGCGTAATAAAGACATCCATCCATCCATACACACGAGAAGCCTCATGTACCCCGCGCGCCAGATCCCACCACAATAACACTTGTTGACTATGGAGGAGCAAATGGCCGCCCTCCCCGCATCGCTGAGGCAGCCGTCGACGAATGTCGACAAGAAGCTACAGCCGTTTAACACGCTCAAGTCGAGCATCAAGCACCTTCGCCCCCCCCCATAACTGCTAGGCTCCTATCTTCAAATGCATCCGCCTTGCCATCAGCACCACACAGTTTGCCGCTCTCGCAATGACGGGCTTCTCGACACCGACCCATCTCATCCGCCGTCTGTGCATGCCACAGCAGAATGCCGCCATCATCCCAGGCCAGTTCCCGAAGCCCCTCCCGATACTACTCGACAGGCTGGGCGATGCACGCGAGTATCACAGCAACGCCGCCTCTTTGATACTGGGAGATCTCTGGCCATTGGCGCATCAGCCGGTGTGGGGGCTGGTGCGCCATCATGCCATGAAGAGCATCAGCCCCCGTGCGAAGGAGGCTTCGATGCAATGAGTCGTGAAGGTTCGTCAATACTTGCTGCTTTTGAGTTGAGACATGTGTCTAATATGCGCGCAATAGATGAACAACACCCAGAACTCGCCCTTCAAAACCTTCACCCCGCTGCTTCTTGCCATCCTCGAAGACGCCGACGCAGCAGTCCAATAGGAAAGAGATACGGAAAGGGATGGGCCAGTTGTAAGAAAAAGAACTAGGACTGGATATCAGACGTTGCTATACAGCCTTTCTATTCATTAGTGCAGTCCTGCATTGTACAATGCAGTCTACTGCAACCAGCCCATCCTGAACGTCATCTGATCGACAAGACTCCTATATCCCTGCATCTCTAGAAATCGCTCACCAGTAGCCTTTTACTCTACAATATTTTTATTTTACCAGAATGTGCACCTCTATATATATGTCTATAATGAAATGTTCAAACACATACAACCATAGGACCCAGAAAAGTCTGAACCCCGTTCGATCTTCGATAGACAACATTGGTACCGGCCGATTAGTAGTTAGGTGGGTGACCACTAGCGAATACCTGCTGTTGTATGTTTTTGCATTTTTGGTAGCCTAGAATGAAAAGGTTGGGAAACATCGGAACTTGCTTTGTCAATTATTGGGGTTCGTTTTTTTGCACAAATACGGAAGGACTTTGAGTGTGGATGGAGGATCTCACGGTAGTTGACATGGGATTTTATTGGTTTTAAGTGCCGTGTTTGGAGGCTGAAACATCTGATTTATTGACGCTACATGGTGACATACCATCCTTGTTCAACCTTTTGAGCCGGGAAGAGATTGCAGGCAGGCAGTCGTTCCAGGTTTGTTGGGGCAATCTGAAGCACAAGGATCCAGTAATTTTCCTACTCAAAATCAAGGCTCGGCTAACTGAGATTCGATGGAGAGACCGGCCTGCTTTTTATACATCATTCCGTTATCTCGGTGAAACACGCCCGGACTACAACTGTCAGCAAAACCCCCTCCACCCTACTACTATTGTCGCCACAACATGGCTGCACCGTCGCCGGGTTACGAAACGCTGTACCTCGAACTGTCGCGGCTATTTGCACTTGTGGCTTACCGTTCGGACCGACGCGACTTTATCGACGCGAGGCTCTTGCATGAGCTGAGGAGGGGGCATATGGCAAACGACTCGACAAGGGAGCGAGATCCAAACAAGGTGGATTGAACGAGTGTATTGTAAGGTCTGAGGAGCTCGATAGAGCTCTGAGCTGACTATATACTGTACGAGATAGGAGCTATGCCTAATGAGTGAATAGTGCAGTACATGGGTATGATATCGCGTGAGACACGTGCGACACACCCCCCTAGCTTTAACAAAGCGAATACTAAAGCAAAGCTGTACAAAGAGAAATAATAGACTGCAGGTGTATAGTAGTGCACTTAAGAGTGTAAAACAGCAAAAAAGAAGTTAGTAAGCTTAGGCTTTAAAGCTAATATTAGTAAAGTAAGCCTTTAGGGCGTTACTTAAGCAGATAAGGCCTAGTTATTTAATAAATGCTTAATGCTTTTATTAAAGTAGAAACTTTATAAGGCTATTAGCTAGCATTTCTGCAGTAGGGATCTAGCGTATGCAAATCCTTCTTTCCTGTACCTCTTAGCAAAGCTAGTAGTTGTGAATGTTAACATGCTTAAGCTTAGTATTAAGCTTAAAGTCTTTTACTATAGCTTGTACAGTTTGTTAATTATTGCATAGTAAAGTAAGCTTTTTCTTAGTGTTAAAGTTTATATTAGTAAAGAATTACTTCTACTACTCTAGGTAGCTAGCAGCGTAAGAGAGAGCTAAAAGCTCTGCTTTAGTTATTAATTTAGTAACTAAGTGCTATAAAGAGGCCTTCTAATTAATAGCTGCGCTAAATAGTGTGAATAGCATGCTGTTAAAGCTACAGTAACTAGTTTTATTATTACTATAAGCAGCATTTAATGCGCTATAAAAGACAGGTCTCTAGAATAAATAAGTAAAGGTCTCTAAGTACTAAAGCGCATAGTCTTTAGTGCTGTAAAGGTACTTAATAATATACTAAGCAGCCTTTTAGTGTTTATCTATGTCAGATTTGCGCACCTACTGTCAAGACAGGAGGAACGCTTGACGAAAGCTGCTACATAGTACGAGCAATAAGCTCGAACAGTATGTTGCTGTAAATTGCAGCATTTTGCAGCATGTTGCAGCATTTTGCAAGCTGGTCGCGCATAGGGCAAGTGCGCGAGGGACTCGGATCGGCAAAACAAAAAGCCGAGCAACACGAGTAGAGCAGAAAAAGGATCGATAAATCAACACAATCAATACAATCAATCAATCATCCCATACATCATATCCAAACCCATCATTCATCTCAGGAAGCCCAGAAACAGTGCTTTAATCTGACAATCTAAGGGGTTAACTAGGTATTTAGAGAGCTTTAAATGTACTTTAGCAACATTAGGTCTAATAGTAGTAGCAGCATAGCTAATAGAGCTAACGCGCTGCTAGTATGCTATAATTCTTTATATGTTTGTTTTAGTTATCTAATTAAGCTGCAGAGGTAGTGCTAATGCATTTAGTAAAGTAATTAGCTAAAAATGTGTATAACTAGTATTAAGATTAAAGCAGGTAGTAAGCTGCTTAATATATAACTTTTAGCTAAGCTATATAGTGCAGTTAACCTTGTTGCAGTTAATTTAGATGCTAAAGAACTAGTTTAGTTTCTTTATAGCTTAGATCTTATAGATCTTTATAAGCTTAATTTTAAATTAGTCTAGGTGCTTCTTATACTCTAGTAGACAAAGGATAATAATGTTATTAATGTAAAAGTAAACTAAAAGCTTTTTGTTAGTAAAAAAATAATTAACTTTAGAGACTTAAAAAAAGCTAAGCTTTTTAAGTAACTTAGTAAGCTCTAGATACTAGAGCCTAGGTGTGTCTTTAAGCCTGTATAGAGCTTAAAGGAGTTAAAGAAGTTACTAAGGGTAACAGTAGCCTAGTAGCAGTTTATAATATGCTAGGGTTAGAAGCTAAGCGTTAATAAACACATTAATAGCGTTATATTATTATGTAAGTAAGCTAAACAAGGCTATAATAGCAACAAGCGCCCTAAAGACGCGTGCTGCTAGAGTAGCAGCATATGTTTTAGCTGTAGTAACCTAGAGGTTACCTTATACATAAAGATAAGCCTTAAATTTAGTTAAAAATTCTTTAGTGTTAAATTTATACTTATATACTTATTTTAGAGGTATTACTTAAGCATTTGCAGCCTCTGTAATAGAGACTAGCTTAAATGCCTCTTTTTAATAAAGGTCTGTAAATTTAATCCCTATAGCATGCTTCTAGCTGTCTAAGAATTAGTAGTAGTGTGCTTTATAGTAAGTTTTAGGCATAAAAAGTAGATTATCTTAATAAAGAGCTTTAAAAGTAATAGTAGTAGGTTTTATAGAGTCTTTTATAAAGCTTAATGCAAAGGCGTAGTACTAGCTAGACATTTTAGTAGTAGTTTGCATAAGGGCAGTAGTGTATTGTTAACGCCTTATTCTGCTTTCTTCTTTTAAGATGTTTAATTTATTAATGTTAGCTATGCTTCTAGTAGGGCCTAGTCTAGTAAATTCCTTAAGCTATGTGCGCAGAATAAAGTTAGCCCCTTTAAGAATTTCCTAAGGCTTATAATTAATTAAAGATATGTGCTCACTAGTTATAGCTTACTTAATATAATTATTATTAGTCTTAAAGTCTATAGCTACATTACCTGTTTACAGATAAACCTTAATAACTAATAAGGTTTTATTGTTAGAGCTATTATTTAGCGTGTTGCTAAGGTTATTTTAGAAGACTAAATTAATATTAGTTTTCTTTTTTAAGTTAACCTTTAGAATAGTTTCTAAGGTTATTTTAAAAAAGAGTAGATAATAGAGGGAGCCTAGCTAGCGCTTCTCTTATAGCTAATTACTAAGTCTATTATTACGCTCTTTAAGCTATAAAAGCTCTTTTGTAAAGTTAATATAGTCCTTATTATTTAAGGTATTATCTAGGGTAAGGAGAGTCTCTGTAATAATGTTGTCTCTAACTACCTATTATAGTAGCTTGTACAATGCGTAGTTATTTAGTTTATAGAAGAAAGTGTTGTTAAACATAACATTATGTACCTAGTAGACGTAGTTATTTGTTAGATTCTATATTTAATAGATGTTTTAGAAGTTATACCTACATAGATATCTAATAAAAGCTTATAGTGCAAGCTTGTCTAACTTTATAGTCCTTTTAATAAGAACATATGCCTTAACACTAATTTAGTAAAAGTAAGAGCAGTCTAGTTTTCTACTATATAGCATTTTAAATAGTGTCTTCTAATTAAGTAATTAAATAAGTGTATAGTTAAGCATGTAACTTATAAGACTAAATATAGTGTTTCTAAGAGACTTTAGAAATTTGCTAATATGTGTAAGACTTTAAGCTTAAATAATAAGTGTCTAGCATAAGTGTTTAGCTGCTCTATTAGCTTCTAGTGTATACAGTAGCGCTAGTTCTAGAGTAATGCCCTATTTATTATAAAATTTCTGCAGAGTTTCTTTTACTTATCTAAATGCAGCCTTATTATTACTTTAAAGTAGCGTTATTAAGATGTTAAATTAAATTAATACTAGTTTATAAACTTTTTATATAATTAAAAGAATTACTGCCTTCTCTTTAGACAAAGTAATAAATACTAAGTTATACTTTAACTAGGTATAATAGAAGTAGACTACATAGATGTTTTTATAGATTAATAGAGACTAGAGCTCTATTAAGTTAAAGGCAACTTGCTAGAATAGTCTATTAATAGGTATTTTATATTTATTTCTCTAGCTAATCTACTGCTTTATCTTTAAAAGCGCGCATAAGTTGCATTTAACAGTGTTTAGCGCTCTGCTAGTTAGTAGCTGTACGCTAGTAACTGTCACGATTGTGCACGAGTAAGGTTATAGAGCTTCACAGAGGTCTAGTTTAATTACTACGTGAGGTATTATGGTAGGTACAAGACGTTGTGTGAGGAACAAGAAGGTTTAGAAGGAAATTAGTAATTAAATACTTAGCTTAGAAGTCTAAGCGCTTTAAGTATAAATTAAGCCTATTCTAGGTTTAGTTAGTGTTAAGGCAGTTTATGCTTAAGTTTATGTCTATGTTGTGTTATATTTATGTTAGACGTGCACTAATAATACTCTAGTACACGTCTAATACAGTTATGTCTAGGATCTAGGAAGGATACTATGACAGTA